CCAAGAAAAACAGGCATGCACAGGCCTACTGAGGGATGCCTACATAGCTATAAGAGATCTGAGCTGCAATGCCTTTGTAGGTTCATTGGAGGATGGTTTTAATTCAATAGCTGGGAATTTTCTTTACAGTATTAAAAGTTTTTCTTAAATGCTTATGAAAATACGAACCCTCCTGTTGTTGCAGTAGCCCATAATTATCTCCCAGATCATGCCCCAGCAGTATTGCAACAGCCATCTGATAGAGCAACCCATCATTCTCACCTCAAAACTAGGACTGAGAATTAAATTGTCTGACTGTGTGATGAATTATATTGAACCAATCAGAGGAAAAAAAACATAGGAAAGGAAGTCCTCTTTGTTCCCTTCTATTCCTCAGCAAGAAAGAAACTCATGCTTTGTTTCAGGATACAAGATCTAAGTTTTGTGAGCTGAAACTTCTTTTGCTCTTCATTTATAGTGTGTGCAGCCTCTTACCTTGTATCCCTGATCAACATCATCGTCAGGTAGAATGACAGGTTCACTGAAGAGTCCATTCTCTCTTGCATGTTCTGGTGTAGTCTTGAATCTTGGCCCAAGCAGATCTGAAAGGTACATTAAGTTTGTGCTGAGGATTTAATTCTCTTCCGACGAAATAATAAAACCACTACTTTTTCCTTTAGCTTAACTCTTAGCTTTCTGGTGAGATTTCATACTGACACCCAATGAATCAAAAGTACATTTTGACACAGATATTAGGAGACAATCTGATCTTTCCCTGACCTTCTGAAAGTTAAAATTATTAAAGAAGGGCTGGAGAACTAAGATTGCCACATACCCTGTGTAGTGAGGGATTCCCACATTTCATCTTGCGTCCCATATTAGATTACTCTTGAAAGTAATTCACATGACTAAATTCAGTATCACACAGACACTATAAACTTCTCATTCTAGTCTTTATAAACCTTGATAAACGTTTTCTTTAAATAATATCTATTCACTACCATAATTGAATATTTGTAACCTGCAGAGAACTGCTTTTCCTCACGAATCCTTACAAGTGCTAAATAGTTCACTTTTTGAGGAATTAGGCACTTCTGGATACGTTTTTTGTTTCTCCAAATATATGAATACAAATTACTTTACCACATGATCTGCACAACTACATTAATTGTTAGCACTGATACAATATCAAACTACTTTTGCATGTGTGAAATAAAGTTCTTCCACAAGTTTAGCAGAGATCTAAAGCACTATTAGAGTCTGCAAAATTAGTTTTGACAGAAAATATTAAAATTTCACTTAATTTTTCTGTATTTATCAAATCATTTGTTTGGCATATCTCTTTGCAGGATGTGAATGTCTTATATTAACTTTTAAAAAGACAAACACAAGCCATTCTGTTGCCCAGTAAAATAATTATTCATCAAGCACTTTAATAAAGTAATTTCATTCTACTAAATAATTTTTTTTTTGGTAGTAGAATTTTAAGTTTTACAGAGTGATAATACCTGAATGCCTTATTAATATATTGAAACATTCTTAACAAATGGAATGTAATAACTGCTAGTAATTAATAATGCATATTTAAAGTATATACTGCAGCTCAGAGGTCAAGATATATTTCAATATCATTCACCTCAGCACCCAGAAAGTAAGTTTCTTCACATTCTCAGTAACAAGATGTTCAATGTCTAATCCACCAGAAACATTCAAAAGGTCCAGCTTTCTTGAAAAGAGAAGGTAATTCTCTAACTCTAATCTTTACTACCAATTGAGAGGCTAATAAAATGAGTTACACTTGCATTTATTGTACATGGCCTATAGCAGTTTTGACAATTCAGTGTATCAAAACAAACATATACTCACTGAAATACTATCTCATCTTTAGCACCTTGGCAACTGCAAGCCTACCAGGGGATTTAGACCATGAACAAACCTCAGCTGAATCCCTTTCTACATGGATAGATTTTAACATGTGTGTTTGACCAATTCTTATGCAGTCAAAAAAGCAGGATAGTGATTTATTGTAATAGACTCGCTTGAGAGACTTGATAGGCTTATTTTGATGTGTCTGCTATAACTTCTCAGAATCACAGAATCACAGAATTGTTGAATTGTTGAGGCTGGAAAAGACCTCTGAGGTCATCAAGTCCAGCCTACGACCCAACACCACCACATCAGCCAGACCAGGGCACTAAGTGCCACATCCAGCCTCTCCTTAAACACCTCCAGGGACCGTGACTCCACTCCTTCCCTGGGCAGTGCATCCCAGTGCCTGAGCACCTTCTCTGTGAGGAAGTGCTTCCTGGTATCTAAAGTGTTCTCGTAATATGGAGTATATACACAGTATACAGAGATGTATAAAGATGCTGTTGTACTGTTATTTTTGGATCTTTTCAGTTGCATAGTTATTTTTCTTCTTGATCTTCTTAGTGGTGTACCTTTAACTTTAAATGGATCTGTTTGTGCATTTGCCTTGTTTCATGTATTTAATAGCTTTGTTGTGATTAAAACTAATGCCAGCCATCTGAGGGTTTGTTACTGGAAGATCAGTAACAAAAATATCTCTCACAGAACTGTTTGCATAGCTTCTCTGGCTGTAGCATTATTTCTTTTTTTCAGTGCAGTCAAAGATTGTAGACAACATCATTCTTGTTATTTTTACTATCACTTATGAAATAGAGATTTTGGTACAAGCCATTTCAAGTTCAGTGCCAAGAAAGGAAAATCTCGGGCTAGAGACTAGTTAGTGTGCATACAGCAGCCCGAAGAATAAGTTTCTGTATGACAACAATATTCAACATTTTTAAGTACTTGGACAAAATTGGAATAAGAAGCTACATACACACAATATTTCCAAATGCTAAGTGAGTCTCTAAAGAAGCCGTCAGATCCAGCTGTTGAGTGAGCAGAACGTGACCTACCCTGAACACAATGTGTGTCCTCAGAGTACGATGTCACTTGGCGTATCCATTCTCTTATCTAAAGGTAGTAATGAGCTGTAACCCTTCACTACCTCACTAAAGCCCCTGATTGTAAATTATCCATCACTGGCATCTTGGCTACTCAGACAATGATTGATAGCTGCTCAGTAGGCCAGTTGAGTGCAAGAACAGGGATGTTTTTTGCTTACATGTTTGCATAAGCATGTGCTTTGAAACAGTCTCCTCGCGTTACCTTACAGCTTGCAATGTTCCAATTGCAAGGCTGTTCTTTACCGATGTGGTTTACCTTGAAATGTCATCCTAATAAACATCTCCTATGGTTTGTGTCATGATCAGGAATTTGTCACCGGATCATTTTACCTGCCACTTCCCTTAATCTGCTGCTTTTGCCATGTAATTACTGATTATAGGGTAACACACTTGGAGTTACCTTACGCACTTATTTTGCATTGGTTGGCAATTTGTTTGGAATCACAGCTCATTGAGATCTGCCTTCAGCCTCAATCGGTGTATTTCAGCTTCACCTTTTGCTTGCATCTAAATAGAATATGCAGCAGCTAATTGCATATGGAAGTACATGACTTCCAAACAACTATTAGCACTGACAGTGTAAAATTTCCTGCTGTATTTCTGTATATAAATTACATCAAAATAGGCTAACTGCCATTTTATTTCAGCTGAAATGAAGAATTCCCCCAATTCCCCATAAACTGTAATCTGAATTGTGTTTACAATATAGATATGTGGGCCAGAGCACATCATGTCTTTATTCAAATTCTTTCCTTCTGTGACTTGTCAATAAACAAGACAGCACATTTAGTTTCACTTATTCAAAATGCAAAGTACAGCAAATAATTAGTGTTCTCTTCATTCATCTTTTTATAGAAACAACGTGTGGACAATGTCATAGTGATCGAGACAAGCTGACAACATTACAGGAAAAGCACATATTAGAGGCCTAAGCAGGAAAATGGTTTTCTGTTCAATCTAGGGGAAGAAAATACTGACAATACAGTGGTGTGGGGCTGCAGTTTTAAATCTGGATATGTATAGAAAGCTGAGGAAAAACAATGGCCATTTTAAAGATGTGAAACAATGATAATCAGGTGGTTTCACTTTTACAGGGAGACATTTATGACCAGCTTTCTCCCTTTCCATTCCCAATCCAGCAAGCAGGTAAGCTGGAGAACAGGAATTTATGACAGAAAGTAAGAAGCATTTAACTTCACAACTATAATAAAGCAGCAGCAGAGGAAGCAAAGAGTCTTTGCTTTCCAAGTTTTTGGACAGGTCAATTCTTCAAGACCTAAGCCGAGATGCCAACCCACAATGTCACCGTCCTGGTTGGGGCAGGTTGGGCGAGGGAGGGAAGGTGACGCAGCAGCACGGTTTAAATACACACGGGAGCAGAGAGTGCCGCCCAACAGACTATTTTGGGAATCCACCCCGGGCTGACACCTGCACGGAGTCAAATCCCCAGAGGAACAGGCCGAGCAGGAGTGGCCAGAGGTGAGCAGAGCGGGGACTGGGGACGAGGAGGTGTGGGTAGCCCACGGAGGGAGGGAGAAGCTCAGCCCTGCCGGGACCCGGCTGGCTGGAGGGAGGTGGGGAGGGGACCACGACCCATTTCTGAAACAGCTGATCACGTTTTCTGCTAAGGAGGACACCTTCCCTTCTAAGGTTGGTACCACGCCGGTGTTTTCAGCATTGTAGTTCACCTAGTCCCGCCTTGCTGTGAAAACAAAGTGCTCTATAGCTATCACCCCTACACACATGTATAAAATGTATATTGCTAAACCTTTTTAAAAATCGAGATGGGAGCTGAGGACTCTGGAACAAAACAGCAGGTATGTAGGATCAAGCAGGAGATATTTGCTTTAATCCTACTAGTAAGCAGTCAGCAGCTTTCACAATGCAAGTCTTTAGCAATGTATTGTGTACCTGCACAAAAGAACAATGTGAAATAGCTGTTTGAAAGTCGATCTCTTTTTTTTTTTTTTCAGTTTTGAAGGGCCAGTAACATCTTGTATTTCTGGGCTCGCATAACAGAAGAGCAGTGCTTGTGCCTGAAAAGTCATGTTCGGCTGCATCCTGAAGATACTACAATTGCTGAAATATTTAATTTGTTCATTTTTTAAGTGTTTAATCTCATCCATATGTCCTCCATGCAAAACAACTTTTGCTGGGGAAATAGTGCTGATTACTGGCGCTGCAAATGGGATTGGAAGGCAGATTGCCTTAGCTTTTGCTCCTTTGGGAGCAATCTTGGTTCTTTGGGATATTGATGATGAAGGTAACAAAGAAACAAGAAGACTAGCCGAAAACTATGGAGCTGTACGAGTGTTCACCTATCACTGTGACTGCAGCAATAGGGAAGAGGTCTACCAACAGGCAGACAAGGTAAGATGCAGCTCCTGGCTTCTGATTTTTTACTTCTTTTTGGTAGTAAATGCTACCGGAAGGTTTTTTTAGAAACTGTACTATTCATTTCAGGGAAGTAATCGTGTAAGGCAACGACTTTCTCTTTTTCACAAGTAGCTTCTAGAGAGAACTTAAACCATGTTCACAACAAAGTAGCTGGGTTTAATCTGACCTCTTGAGATTTATGCATTTCCAGTCTTTGTTGGGAGATGGCAACTTCTTTTAGATTAGAAGTATGGCAAAACACAAATCAGAGGTTAACTCCATGTATTAGCTTGTGCAGGCTTTAAAATTTGTTTAGTAAATAAATAAATAGACACTGGAAATTGTAGAGTTCTTTTTCTTTGTCCATTTGTTTAGAAACTTGTAGTTTGGTAAAGGTCATGTAGGGTGTAATAGTTTTAGAAATACCGTCATGGCATGGCTGGTCTCCAGTCAAACTGATGATTCTGCTTCAGTTTATTTTTTGATCAATCAAGCTGGAAAGTAAGGTAGAGAAGGACTCCATTTTAAATTATACTCTTCTGCTGTGTAAACTGCTTTGTAAACTATTACTTTATTATTAGTAGTAGTAGTAGTAGTATCATTATCCAGGGATTGGGTATTAAATTAACACTATTAATTTTTACTTGTCCTTAAACTGTGTATTGCCTGAAAATGTTTCCCAGTATAACCTCACTTACAATCCAGTTAGCCACTCTGCCATTTCATCCAAGGATAAATTATTCTTCTGCTAAATCCTCAGTATATGTACTTATATACATGACTTTCAAGTCACATCTTTGATATTCTGTGTCCAAAGGTATACATCAGAGAAATTAGCTAAAATATTTCATGATGTGAATGTTGATAGATTGTTTTGGAATAGCCTTGAAGTGTATGAGTTGTCAGGGGGGCTCTTTGTTTTGTTGTTGTTACTTTTAATTTTAACCAAAAAAGGACAAATGCTTTCTGAACATGGCTATGAAAGCCTGAAAAACATTTTTTTCTTCAAAGAATGTTCCTCATGAAAAGTACTTCCAAAGGGTAAGTTGCATTCAGGATCTGTAAGTATCTGGAACTGCAATTCTCAGGCTTGCAGTCAAAAAGGAATTATTTTACCCGTACTTATTAGCAGTATTTGGGGTGCAGACAACTAACAGTACATGGAAAAAATTTCCATTTGGGGCCATTGGTACCACACGTTAAGAACCACAAGTGATATCATAGCATTACTTGGGGGGTGGTGGTAAAGATCTGTTGTGCCATAGCAGTAGATCTGCAGAGATGAGCAAGTTGCCAAGTGGTGTGGCCTGTGCTGACCCAATAGACAGTGCTCAGTGCACAGCATTCAGGGAGGGTGACCTTTGCCAATCACTTGGGCAGTACAGATGACATGACTCTTGCTGTGTAAGACACTGATTAAGACTCCTACAATTTTGGAGTACGAATCTCAGTACTTTCAACAATCTTAATATCTGTTACCACTTCCCAGCAAGATGAAAAATCACTCTGAGCAACTTGTGGCCAGTACATTCAATATGACAATTGAGCTTTATTCAGAATGATACTATAAATCAAACAGCAATTCTTCCAGAATCCCCTTTTCACAAGGAAAAACTCACTTTAGAATTTAGCAAGATTGGATCTCTTTAAAAAATAACATTTTAAATTTGCATTAAATCCTTATTTCCATAAATGCTATCTGCTTCTTGCAAAGACATGCACCAAAATGTTTAGTTTAAACTTACGTAATTTCTCTGTTGGACTTTCCTATCGATGCTGAACATTTTGAAATGATTTGTTTATTCTTAGTTTAGCAGAGTCTCAAAATGTTTGCTTTATGCACTCAAGCAATTAACCAAACCAGCCCCCAGGCTCCAGCCTGCAAAATTTGCTGTGCCTATATCAGCAAAGAGTATTCTGAAGAGCACAGACTGACCTACAAGCAGAAGCTCAAAGAGCTGTTCAGAATTCAGGGATCACTGTTAAGGTGTTAAATTATTGTTAACAATACCTTTGTAGGTATTGGCATGAATTGAACAGTCATAATGGAGCCAGAAATTCTTTTAGATCAAGGGGCCTCCTCTACTCTTGGAAATAACTGCTGATTTTTGATTAGTAGTATGAAAAGTCTTGAGCTTGGACACAGAAAATCAAGAAAGAGCAGAAAATTTATATTAATTGTTTTTATTTTATGCAGAAAAATCTAGGTGTTTACCCATAATGGAAGTTTTCTTTCCAGGAAGCCAATCGGATCATCTAAGTCCCTAAATAATAGATTTTAGAATAAACTGGTGAAGTGAACAGCAACTAACTTTCAGGATCAGGCAGAGTCCACCTGGGAATTCTGAAGGAAATCAGATATGGATCTGATGAGCTAAAAATGCATGCAAGGTGTTTTGCTGTAACAAGTGTCCAAGGAATGAAGCGTAGTAAATACGTCAATTTTAAAGAGCAATTGAGAGGACATAAAGAAACAAACCTGTCTTACAGAAAACTGGTACAACAATAATCAAGAGAAGAATGAATAGACACCTAAAGAAATTCACAATGAAGAATAATTGGCTTGACGCTTTGTAAATGAAATTCAAGCTTCCCACATTTTTTGGGGTAGTAAGCAAACAAGTCAACTGAAGGCAGATTAAGTAGCATGCTGCCACTGGGGAAGGTATGTTGTCATGTGAAGAAAACACCATGTGGAAGATTGTTGTATGGACTGACAAAGTAGTTAAAAAGTATGAGTGGGGAGAAGTACAGATATATACCACACAGGAGGAGTTGGGTATTCCTGCCATACTCAGCAGTGTCTAGATTTTCATTCACTTGTGCTGGTGGAAAGGTGCTAGTATCGGGGGGGATGGTTTCAAGTTGCAACAGGGCAAGTTTAGGCTGGACATTAGGAAGATATTCTTCATGGAAAGAATGGTCAGACACTGGAATAGACTGCCTAGGGAGGTGGTTGAGTCGCTATCCCTGGATGTGTTTAAGTGCCGCTTAGATGTGGTGTTGGGTGATATGGTTTAGGGGTGAACTTGTAGTGTAGGATCAATGGTTGGACTCGATGATCCCAAGTGTCCTTTCCAACCTGAATTGTTCTATGATTCTATGATTCTATGATCAGAGCCCTGCTTGTCTGAGACAAGGAGAGAGCCTGACACAGCTGGAGGAGTATCAGTTCTTCACTGAACACTAAGTTGGTTCCCTGAGAGAGCCACAGGAAGGTCAAATGTTAGGGCAGCAGATCTAAGCACCAGTTTCCAAATTGCCAGAGAGCGGCATATCTGTGTTTTTTATGTTTTTTGTAGTCATTCCATAATTTTTGAGACACTAAATAACCAACTACCTCTAGCACAGAAATCTCTGCAGTAAGCCTGATTCTTAACAATGTAAGTAAATCTTGACCATCTGCTTTGATATAAATCCAATTCATGGAATAAAATATTATTTTTTCAGCAAACCCAAGCTAATGGTGTTTTTGCCCTTCTCTCTAAGTGATGTTATCTCTCTATTTTATGGCACATGATTCTGTACTCAAAGGATTGATATCCACAAGGAATCTGCACTGATTTCTGTCCTGTTCAGTAGAAATGATGTGGAAGAGGGTTGAACAGGTTTGGCTGAGGAATGCAGATTCTTACAATACCAGGAGTAGGAAACAAGGAATGCTTAGGTTCCAATTACAGCTTGCTCACAGTGCACACTAAAGCTTTGTAACTCATTACCTTAGCTTCCTGTGGAAACTAGAAGTATTCTGGAGTTCAGGAACCAATTAGACAACTTTGGGGAGGAAAAATGTCATGGGGATATATTAAATACAAAGGTATAGATACCTTATCTCTCTCAGGAAGATCCTAAGAGGCAGAGTGTGACAAATTGAAGAGTACTCTGGAAGAGACCTTAGAATCCTCGTCCTTTTTTTCACTGCTTTCCACCATGAGACAAGGGCTATAGGGTTAGATGGACCTTTAAACTGATGAAGTACAGCAGTTCTTACATACTTATGTTTCCAGTAGAGACATAAATAATTGCAAATATCACTAAACATTTTCATAGAGGAAGCACAAGAAGCAAGGGTAACTTTCTAAAACTTTCTGTTTATCCTTTTTTAATTCAGGTTAGAAAAGAAGTTGGGGATGTTACTATTCTAGTCAACAATGTTGGCACAGTGCTTGGGAAAAAGTTCTGTGACACTTCAGGTGAAGATTTTGAAAAGATCATGAGAGTCAACTTCTTCTCTCAAGTCTGGGTAATGTATTTTTTCCTCTTCTGGGTCACCAAAGCTACAAGCAAATATTTTAGTGTGAAAATTATCAGGATGTCACCTACCTGGAGGAATCCAATTTGGAGTAGGAATGGGAGTGGCCTTAATTGGAAGAAGATCCATTTCCTTAATCATCTCATACTTGGAGACAAACCAAATTGACCAGTTCCCCTGCTACATCTTAGTAATGTTAACACAGCCTGCCTGGGCAGTCCAATAAATCAAAAGTTTGTGCAACCGTATCGTGACACAGGCCTTATCTGTAACAGCTGTGGCTGAAGTTAGTGCTGACTTGTCGGCATGTGACTTTCTTGCTCCTGATGCTTGCTGGCATCAGAAGGCTTTGTCTAACAGACTTGTAGCATTCAGAGAAGCACAACCATGGTTTAATGGTGGACTTGCCAGTGGTAGGTTTACGGTTGGACTCAATCTCTAAGGTCTTTTCCAACCTAAATGATTCTATGCTAACTAAAAATATGTGTTGGTGTCAGTCCTCTGCTTGCACTAGGAATGAGTTCCTAGTCACCGTCTCCTTAATGTACATAAAAAACTAATCTGGATAGTATGCATTATTTCTTTTGTTTGCATACCCCTGAAGGAATTTGCTGTTATTTGGGGATGTCAGTTTACCTTTAGGAGGTTGTGTTGTGAGAGAGCGTTACTCTTGCATCCTTTTGCCTTTGTTATTTATATGCCTGATTAAGCAGCCTGCATCAGGGAAAAATGTAGTATTGCAACTCCCTCGCTAAACGGCATTTCACAATGGAAAATCATTAAAGAGAGAAGCCCTCTAATCATTTCCCAGCCCACAGTGCGTCATTCTTCTCAATACCTGAGGTAAAGGAGCTGGGAGAAATGTTCCTCCTGACAGGTCTGAAGAGACGGCGGGAAAGAGAACAGTGACCATGGGCCCTCAAACAAAAAAAAACAGTGCGCTAGGCACACACATCTGGAGCCTAAAAGACATAGCAGGACATCTCTGCTATTGAAAACATCTTGTTACTTCTGTTACCTTTTTTGTTCTCTTCCCTCTCATAAAACACCGGCGTCCTCCTTGTATAGTCAGTAGCACCCACAGTGGTAGTCTGGGATGCTGGAGCTCTCAGGCAGTTCGGTTTGTAACAAATAAGGCTGGTAGCTGAGCTTCCCTTGATGTGTTGACTTCTAGCTCCCTCTTGTGTACGAAATCCCTAGTAATGGTCTCAAACAGTGAGGAACCAGGAAGCAGAGAAAATACAAAACTTGCTGGTTTTAATAACTCGATTTTAATTCTGCCAGAACTTCAGGTAGAGGGCAAACGTTCAAGGAAATGCTGTCTTTCATCTATAAATTCTTACAGAGATGTATGATCAGTTGGGCTTCCTGTGTATTGAAGCCCCAGAAAGCAAATTGTGTTGTAAAGTCTAATTTGGAATGCAATGTTTTTGGCATGTCTAGATTTTTTTTTATTTGTGTCTTAGACTTGCAAGGCCTTTCTTCCAGCCATGATAGCCCGTAACCGTGGACATCTGGTTAGCATAGCCAGTGCAGGAGGATTGTTGGGACTCTACAGAGGGACAGGTTTGTATTGTCAAGTGCCATTACAAATCAGAGCCACATACCAATAACTTGTCATGCACATCTCCCAAGTGTCTGGCTTAAGCAATTTATACTGACATACTGAACACTCGGCAGGAGCCTGCAGATGTGAAAGGTGGTAGCATTTTGAATGCTGAATGAGTGTGATCAATAAAGACACGGAGGATCAGAATTGCTTTTGTGTTATTATTTTAGGCACATTATATTTGTCAATACTCTTGACTGAGACAACGGTTAGATCACATTTTACGACAAATTAATGCAGGACACTGTGAAATTCAACAATGTTCACATACTTTTTCTTGTAACTCTATCTCTTAGGTCACCCTATGAGAATGTGAAGTTCAGTCTAATGAGTATCTCTTGTTTCTTCTGTTGATTGATGGTGTTACTGTAGTGTTTATTTACCACTGTTATCATTGGTGTCAGGCTTAGTACTAATAAATAAGTCACATTCAGCTTTTATCGCTTAATTGTAAGGCTTATGAGAGTGGACCTTCCCATCCACGCATTATAACTTTTTACACCTTAGCTATACCATTTTAGGTCATATAGTTTCGTCATCCACCATGGGTGAATCCCTGAAGAATAACAAACTGTCTCTGATGACAGCTTTTGACGTTACTTTTTTTAGCAAAACTGGATTTCTTTGTATATAACAACTCTTTTCACACACATTTGAAAAAGCCTTAGGAAATCACGTGTAAATTCCTATATTTAAATAAGGTTTTTAGAGTTGCAAAATTGTAGAATAATTTAGGCTGGAAGGAATCTCTGGAGGTTATTTGGTCCACAGCCACAAATAAAAGCAGGCTCCACTTAGATCAGGTTGCATAGGGCCTTGTGAGGGCAAATTTTGACTATCTCCAAGGATGGAGTTCCATATGTTCATCAAACAATAAAAAATTATAGAAGATTCAGTCTTCCCAGGCAAACAAAATAGTACTATAGTTGCAGGGCAAATCAGAAGTAGCAGGTTGAAGTAGCATTGATAAGTAGGGTATTTAGATTTTACCACTAAAAATAGTTCTTACTGAAATGTACTGTAATATCAAAAGGTGAAGATACCCTGAACTGAAAGAATGGCTGGCTTGTATATGAGTGTCTGGAAACTTACATAAAATGTTGAATAAGCTCATCTTCCTATATCTCTGTAATGCACTGAAAAGAAGTCCTCTAGAAAGGATCCACTTATCCTTAGACAACTATGCATCAATTATGGGAAGAGCCATTAATCTTCAGATTTAGCATCACCAATATGCACAGCATCCTTAAAATAATTACAAGTATGCTTATTATATAACTAAGTAATATCAAGGCTTAAAACTATTACAAAACATTAAATTCTGTATACAACATTTACTGTGGTGCTTTTGACATATTTTGGATATTCTTTCTTTCTTTACATTTCAGATTACTGTGCAAGCAAGTCTGCAGTCATTGGAATGATGGAAGCCATAGATTCAGAACTGTATCATTCAGGAAAGCATGGCATTAAAACCACAATCGTTTGCCCTTATTTTGTTCGTACTAGATTAGCTAGGGGTTTTAAAAGCGAGTAAGTAAAACTTAGATCATGTGCTTTGTGTATAAAAAATAATCACTACTCAGCAGACTCAGTCTCTAGGTACTATGAGGTTGATTTGCTCTTCAATCCAATATTTTTGCCCTATTGGCACATACAAATATCTCTTTGACATAGGAATTCTAAGTCTTGCATATAATTAATAACTGATGTGCAACAGGGACTGTGACACAACCTCATGGTCAAGGGATGGTTAGGGATGCACAGCAGTATTTAAGGCAACTTTATCTGTCCATAGAACTGTTGAGGTTCTCTGCCTCAGGTAATTTTGGCACTATGATTACAGTTTCAGCTCTCAGGATAGGCATAACCTGTCGTTACCAACTATGCAGCACTACCTGCGCTATACTTCTCTGAGTGAGAATAGCTGGGGTGGTAGGATCTGTACGGTTGTCATGATGGGAGCGGCTTCAAGCACCGAATTAGCTGTTGCAGTAGTGTAGTACCCATAATCTTGTTTTTTTCAGTGCTCTGCTCCTGCCTCCACAATTCATCATCCTGTAGCAGCATATGTTATGCAGAGTACAGCTTTTCTGCTGGTCCTGGTCTGTTTAGCTGTCACCTCAACATCTTCAGTAGAAAAGGGGGAGGTGTGCAGAGGGTGGCACTCATGAATAGAACAGCATATACTATGGGTTAGCTGGGAAGTCTCCAGTGCTGCAATCACTGTGGGCATTAACTTCATTAGGGTCTGAGCAGGTCTTGCACAAGAAGTTACTCATTAGTCATTAAAATATACAATATCACTGAAGCTTTTTTGATTTATTTTGATGATAGAAAGAAAAAAGTATTGGACACTTCTTTTCAGGACTACTTTAGGGGATGGGAAAAAATTCTTTAATGATTTAATTAAATGATTTCTATGTTAGAATATATTTCAAAGGCAAAATTTTGTAATTTTGTAATGCTTTGTTTCTTTTTTCACCAGATGCCCTCTCCTACTTCCTGTTTTTGATCCAGCGTATGTAGCCTGCAGGATTGTGGACGCAGTTCGAAAAGAAAAGTTTTATCTAGTCATGCCTCCAACTTTACGCTTATTTGGTCTCAAATTGTAAGAATATGACACATCTTCTAGCATTACCTTCTTTCTTTTGCCATATGCCTGCAAAATCAGC